CCTGTGAGCACGAGCCCCAGGCCGAGGAACATGAGGTTGGAGCCCACGACCGTGGCCTGGTACCAGCCTCCGCCGGCCGTCAAGGGGCGAAAGCCAGATGCACGGGGACGGGGGGCAGCAGAAGCAGCCACAAGACGAGTACAGTCAGAACGTGAATTGAGGGCGGGTGGCAAGGAAGCAGCAACAGGAGGAGTACGGTCAGAACGTGTAGAGAGCACAGTCATGACGCGTATTGAAGCCGAAGTTGGGATCTCTTGGGCGGTGGGCGACCAGTGAAAGCGGCAAAGGACGGGCCGCAGAGACAAGAACACAAGGGCACCCTAGATGAAGGCGCGCGTCCCAACTAGGCGCGCTGACTGCAGGAGGAGGAAGATGAGGCGAAAGGACGAGGGCCCAGACCTCCATCGAGCTGATGCTGTCTAGCCACCAGACGCCGCACGTCTCGACCAGACATCGCATGAGAACATGTGTTGTGCTATATATTCCTTGCTCTTTTTTATTATGTATATACTAATAAAAATAGAAATAAGAAGAAGTATTATATACATATATATATATTATGTTTAATTATCTTTTTTGATACCAACAAAAAACTTTGGACCAGGAGGCCTGGACCCCTGCCCTGGGGCCGGCTCTTCATCGCGGGCCGTTTCTGGACGGCCCTGGGCCCCGGTCAAGGCCCCCGGGGACACCGAAGGCCGGCGATAGCCGCCTGCCGCGCCTGCTGCCGTGCCGACGCGAGGAGGCGTCGGCGGCGACGACGGGGCGAATAGCCCAGGGGTCAGACACTGCACCACAGGATCGCGTCGTGGCAAAATACAGGACGGGAGGTTCTTGGCCATCTTCGGCCTCGGGGGGTCCCTCGCAGGGCCTCGGCACCGTCAAAAGACGGCCCAGGATGAAAAACCGGTCCCGGGGAAGGGGTCGGGACCTCCAGGGACTCCGCACCGAAACAATCAGGCCGTCGAACGTCTGGGCACGTATCCCGCCAGGGAGCCTCGTCGAAGACATGGACCATCGGCGCCCCTGGATACATGTCATGTAGTGCTCCCCGCCTGGGCCATTCTCCCCTGTCGTCGCCTCCCGAGGTGGGGATGAGGAGGAGGAGGAGGAGGAAGAGGAGGAGGAGGCATTAGGCAGGAGGAAGGAGGAGGAGGCAGGAGGCAGGAGGAGGTGGAAGAGGAGACAGGAGGAGGCGGGCGGAGGAGGAGGAGGAGGAGGAGGGGAGGGTTCTCGACCCCAGCCATCAGGACCGGCGAGCCATCCTGAGTAGTTCTTGATCCGGGGGCGTCCAAGGAGGGGGCGTCCCATAACTAGGAGGGAGTGCGGCAAGTCATGGCCCGAGGAATGTGCGCGCACTGGCGGGGGCCAGAGGGTGCGCTGAAGGAAAAGAGGAGGAGGAGGAGGAGGAGGGAGGAAGGAGGAGGAGGAGGAGGAGGAGGACGGAGTAGGAGGAGGAGGAGGAGGAAGCATGAATGGCAGGCACACCGGGTGCTGGTATGTCAAGGGGGGCACTTCTTCGAGTGAAGAGCAACGCCTGGGGTCTTACGAGGAGGGGGCCCAGGACTGGAGGTGTGCTGCAGCATCGCTGATTCATCTTGGGCGTCCTGTGGTCATCCTGCTCATCATCCTCGAGATCCTCATCTTCCAACTCCTCCTTCCCTCTTCCCCCTCCTCCTCCTCCTCCTCCTCCTCCTCCTCCTCCTCCTCCTCCTGCGCCTCCTCCTCGCCTTCTTCCTCCTCTTCCTGGTGCTATGTTTTGATCCTCCTCCTCCTCCTCCCTCATCATCATCATCATCATCATCATCATCATCATCATCATCATCATCATCATCATCATCATCATCATCATCATCATCATCATCATCATCTCATCATCATCACATCTCATCATCATCATCATCATCATCATCATCATCATCATCATCATCATCATCATCATCATCATCATGCCTCCTCCCTCCTGCTCCTCCTCCTCCTCATCCTCCTCCTCCTCCTCCTCCTCCTCCCCTCCTCCTCACTCCTCCTCCTCCTCCTCCTCTCCTCCTCCTCCTCCTCCTCCTCCTCTCTCTCCTCCTCTCTCCCTCCTCCTCCTCCTCCTCCTCCTCCTCCTCCTCCTCCTCCTCCTCCTCCCCTCTCCTCCTCCTCCCTCCTCTCCTCTCCTCCTCCTCCTCCTCTCCTCCTCCTCCTCCTCCTCCCCTCCTCCTCCTCTCCTCCTCCTCCTCCTCACTCCTCCTCACGCCTTCTCCTCCTCCTCCTCCTCCTCCTCCTCCTCCTCCTCCTCCTCCTCCTCCTCCTCCTCCTCCTCCTCCTCCTCCCTCCCCTCCTCCTCCATCTCCTCCTCCTCCTCCTCCTCCTCCTCCTCCTCCTGCTCCTCCTCCTCCTCTTCCTCCTCCTGCTCCTCCTCCTCCTCGCGAGCGGGGCGACGGTGATTGTGGTGCACCAGCTCGAGCCGGCCGTCGATCCTGGCCCCCAGGGCGCGGGGGGCGGAGTGGGCAGG